CCTTCTTACCTTTTTGCTCACTCCTCCTCCCTCCATCACCATCGCCTTCGTCCCTCCCCGCTGCTCCTCCTTCCTCGTCCTCCCTCGATCCTCCCTCCTCCTTGATCGCCCTGTCCTCCCCCCACGTCCTCCTCCATCCATCCTCCGCCCTCCTTCCTCGTCCTCTGCACCCCATCCTCCCTCTCCCTCCTTGCTCCATCCTCCCTTCTCCTGCCTATGTCCTCTCTCGGATACGACTCTCGTTCTCTCTGTCGAGCCTCTCCCCGCAAATGCCACTCTCCCAGTCCCCTTGCCCCTCCTTTCCGCCACACCCCCGCGTCCCCTCTGTGCCGCCCTTCTCTCCACCGGGCTTGCGGCTCGCCGCGCTCGCCTACCCACAACGACGCCCCTGGTCCGTTTCGATTCACACGTCGAATGGTGCCAGTCAGCCGTAACCCTGAAACTTCGTGCCGGCCACTCCCAGGTTGGACCCGGCTTCGACGGTTGAGAAACTTCGTGCCAAAAAGAAGGAAACCGACACGAACGAAAGCGCCAAAAAAAAAGGAAACCGACACGAACGAAAAAAAGGAAGGCAACACGAACGAAAGCGCCAAAAAAAATGGAAACCGACACTAACGAAACAGCCTGGGCCCAATTTCGCTGGGCCCGCTGGGAGCGTCACGCGAGACCCGCGTTTTGCTTTAGAGTATTAGAGAAAAATTTGGTAAAACAGTTCGATGTGACCCTTAGGCAAAGTTGTTCAGTTCATTTTTCTGCATAACCTAGTTTTTTCCCGGATATATTTTTTTTTTTTCTTTTTTTTTTTTGCTGGGACCTTCCCTGGTCCTTTTGCACGTCCAGGCCGCCTGGGAAAACAAGGTGACCCCTGCAGCCTGGCTGGTAGTCTCTTCCAAAACACAACAGAAACCAGTCCGACTCATCACAGCAGTCCTCCTCAAAGTAGCTTTGGCTTTTACACATCCAACCTTCAAAAGTTCGAACAACGATAAAACGGTATAACCTCTGTCATTTACTAGTTTACTAAATTTACTAAATTTAGTAATTTCCTATGTTGGGCCGTCGCCCGGCCAGGCACGCCCGGGCCAGTTGGGCAGAGGGGGGGTCGCCCGGCAAAACCAGACGGGTCAAAAAAGAGGCAAGGATCCCCCCCAAAAAACAAAGACTTTAGGCCAGGCCCAAGCAGTCAGGATCCGGTCTTAACTTCGGTTTTGGTGATGGGTCATCCAGGCGGGGTGGGGGGGTATAAACAGTGACTAAAGGGCTTAAAAGGGTACATTTGGAGTCTTTTGGGACTCATATTTTCTCATTTATTTTTATCTTGAAATTAACAAGGAATTTCGAGGTGGCCCTGAGCCAAAAGTCGTTTGTATTGCACTTTTACACAACATATTTTTTTTCCGCATTTTTTTGTTTTTTTTTTATTTTCTATTTTTTTTTTTTTTTAATATTATGCGCTGGGATCGCCCGGGACCCTGCCCGGGCCCTGCCCGATCCGGGCCGCCCGGGAGGGTACCCGGGCTGCCTTCCCCCAGCCGGGCCGCCCGGGGACTAACACAGGTAATTTCTCAATTTTTCTCTTTCCACAGGCGCTCCGATTTCTCCCCACTCTATACACCAGAGAGGAGAGTGACAGACCGCCTCACAATAGCTTTCACTTCTCCACACCCCAAAAAATGAAAGTTATGACAACAATGGATTTGAGCCATATCAGAAAACGATCAGAAACAATTGTGGGAGGTTCCTGCCAGCATTGATTACCCTAGGGTCCAGGGGATTGACTGAGCAGAATGGAGGAAAGAGGGGGGAATCTCTTCACGCTGAGCCCGGCGCCAGATTTCTGCTGCTACATGCTAATTCCTCCCTCCCCCTATCAGCAGTCCCAACAGTCAATCCCCACCTTTTTAAAAACATTGCTTACTCTAGTATCTGGGGGATTAAACTGAGCAGGGTATCTGATAAAAGCAATATTCACATCCTTGTTTTAGATCCATAATGAAGAAAGAGCATTCTCCTGCCAGCATTGATTGCCCCGAGATCCGGGGGATTGACTGTGCCGGGTGAAGAGGCCATCAGGACTGGATTTGGTCCGCTGAATGCTGTGAAGCGGGAAAATTGAATTTTAGTATTTATTTTACGTATCTCCATAAGCGTTCCCAACTTCCCACGGTTGCGCTCAGGTGGATTTGAACCGGAGACCTGACCCAATGTGAAACAAAATAAAAAAAGGTTGCTTCATTAAAGTTTATTTTTAGTTTTCAAGGTTGCTGCCAGTCAGATTCAACCTTTTTGTTTGTGTCAAGTTTGCTGCTAGTGAGATTTGCCCCCGGCAGTTCATGTGTTTTCTGTATCTCCATAAGCGTTCCCAACTTCCCACGGTTGCGCTCAGGTGGATTTGAACCGGAGACCTGACCCAATGTGAAGCAAAAAAAAAAAAAAGTTGCTTTATTTTTAGTTTTCAAGTTTGCTGCCACAGCCTGCCAGTCAGATTCAACCTTTTTGTTTTTCAAGTTTGCTCCTAGTCAGATTTGACCCCGGCAGTTCATGTTTTCTGTAACTCCATAAGGGACACTGGACCCCCGGTTCCCAGCCGTGATGCTCCCCACGAAAAGACTGGAGCATCGTCCTCAAAAAAAAAAAAAAATAATAAATAAAAAAAAAAGATTTGAACCAGGGACCTACAAGTAAGAAATACTTAGAATAGTAGAAGAATAGTAGAATACTGTTCAATAATCTTGAGCACATAAGGACCCTAATAGGACCTAGACCTCTAGAATTCTCCAGGCCACAAGCTCGGTAGGACCCTGTTGAGGCCAAGGGAAAATTGGCATAGCAAAAAGTGACGACCTAGGACTACAGTTCATTGATTTTTTTCAGTTCATGATCTTCGGTGGAGTGAAGTGAACGAGAAGGTCTCGAAAAAAAAAAAAAAAAAAAAAAGAGAATGAGCAGCAGCACCTAGGTTGGCAGCTGAAGGAGAGGGTTTAGATGCAGCAGCCATCGCCAGTGTGTTCTGTGTCTATTATACTGTACGGTTTAGAGTGCCGTTTGCTCTGGAACTGCTTAATGAAGCCTGGCCCTCAAGTGGACATCACCGTTTAAAAGAACAAGTGGACGCGCCGCAGCCACGCTGCGGCGGAGTAGAGGGACAAACAGGGGGGGGGGGG